TAAATTGTGGAGTTCTTGTATTGTGCTTGTTTCTGATTCTGAGACTGCATTTCTTCGTTTTGACAATCGTTTCCTTATTATTTGTTTTTAATTGTTAATAATTGTCTTTCTTAGTGTTTGTCTTTTTGTTCTTATGTATCCTATTGTCTGTGTCGTGTGACTGCGAGGTCGTATCTTTCGTCGTTAATTAAACAGTTGTATAATATAATTGTTTGTTTGTTTCCTAAATTGTCTTTTGACATAAGATTTAGGATGATGGATGCAATATTGGGGTTATTGATTTCTAATGTCTTAAGCTGTTAGTTCTTACAGTTTTTTGTGGTTAGCTTAACTTGGAGCGTATTTGTCGGGTGGGAGAGAAAAGCATATATCGATTAGTGAGAATGATTTAATGATTTTTACTTTCTTGTGAATAATTCTAAGTTAATAGAGACTTACCTAATCTTACTTAGGGGTTGTGATTTGTGATTAGGGGTTGGAGAATAGTAAGTTGATCCACAAGGTTCAGGTATGATTAGAACACAATTAGTTCGTTAAATACTGTTTTATGACTCACTACTTTTAAGTGTTTTAGCCTGGGTCGTTTAAGAGGAAGGGGATCAAGTGAAGGATGAGTAATCGAAGCTCTTCACTGTTTATCCTAATTGAAATGGTCAGCTATTTAAAATTTTTTTGGAAATTATGGGTCTTTAACAAGGGTTCGGTAGTGAATCGACGTTTGAAGTCGTAAGACACTAATTAATATTAATATGGAACAAACTAACAACTTTTGCTTTATAATAAATAATTTTTGTACTTTTACATTCAGTAAAAAAACTTTTTCGAGATGTTGTTAATTCACTGCAGATTTTTCAAGAAGAACGAACGACTAGTGTTGTTTTTATTGGTCGTTATTGTATGATTATTAGGTTTAGCGCCATGAAAGGTTATTGGAGATGTTTCTTCAAAAGTTTATGTCAGTAAATGAAAATTTAATTTTACTGCTGGAAGTATTCTAAATATAAAAGTTTGATCTTGTTTTTGTCGTACAATCATGAAATCGATTGGTAGATTTCTTCCTGGTCGTACGTCGTCTTTTGTCCGAGGTCTTCTTCCAATACCGGGTAGTTCTCGTATTATTTGGAATATTGGATCTGATCTATTGAGTCGTAGAGACGTTTCTACTAAGTTTTTGTCTTACAACATTTTTGCAATTTTGCAATTGTCTAATTCTAAAATCTTTTTTTTTTTCTAAATCTAGGTTAGTTAAGGTCTGTTCGAGACTTTGGGTCGCACCAGAAGAGTTATGACCTGTTGGTTATACTCATAGAGTAAATTCAGATAAGGTACACCGTCTGCTCGTCATGCTATCTTATTTTCGGCCGGATAGATTCGTGCAACTTCTTGGTCTAATACCAATCTTAATCTTACTCTTATATATCCTAGTCTCAATAGATCTAGCGTACACCGGTTTATGCGAGTTTATTTCCAGAATGAGAACAACTGTATTTTAAGCTTATTTCAAATTGCTCTGGTGCTGAAACTACATGTTCCAATTGTTCGAAATTGGGAAATCATTCCTGCTATCATAATTTCTTATTTGTCAGTTTTCCCCTCTATATCATTTCCGTTTCTCGCCATTGGATCATTTTTCACTCTCAAGGGTCGAAGTGAAGACATCTATTGATTGTGGTAAAAATCAAAAAAATTTACTAAAAAGGCAAATTACGTTCTCCAATAGCGAAAAAGCAAATGGCGCAAACAACATGATCGATTTTTTATTTCAAACGTGGACTTTATTTTCTAGATTACTCCGCTGAGCCAGAAGGGTCTTTCTTTGTTCTTTTTTGAGATATCCATATTTGGTGACGGACCCTAAAAAAAATTTCTAGAAGCGCCTTCCGCGCCAAAATATACTAATTTTGAGAGGGGAGTGCGCTTTCCAAAAAGTGCCTAAAGACGCCTATTTTTCAAAATTTAGTGCTTTGGGAGAGCTCGGGAATTCTCTTCGGTCGACCTAAAAAAAAAGTTGACAAAATTTTCGAAGTTTTTTTGAAAATGGCCCCCCTTTCGAGAAAATCCTAGATCCGCCCCTGATGTCAATGGTTGAAAACTTTTCAATTTCGGAGAATTTGAACTGTGGTATAATTTTTTCGTGGAAAATCAAAGACTGAAATTTTTTGTAATAAAAATTGGTCAATTTTTGGTATTTTTGAGTTGTGTGACACTTTTCCAATGAACTGTTTGTTATATAGTTTTTTTTAAATTGTTTTAGGGAGCCATGCATCCTTTTAATTTGCTCTCTAGATAAAGACCATCTTCGACGATTGTGCTTGAATCATGAAAAATTTCCGACAACTCGGATTGACTTTCATTTCAATTTCCGACTTGCTGATGCCGCGTTACTTTGCGTTACCAAGCTTGTAAAAAATTCAGCAGACAAAAAATTGATTTTCACTCATAAAAAAGTTTTTTCGACTGCTAAAAATGATGAACTTCAAAAAATGAGTGTTTGGATAGCTTAGCTCAAGTTATCTTCCTAATTGAACAGACATTTTTGAATCGAGAAATTATCTATGAGATGAATTGAAGTTCTTTTGCTGATTCAGCGGTTCGTTTTGCCTGATTCTTAAGTTAAAATGAATTTGCCGGAATAGATTGGTAATTTCGGAAAAATCTAATCATCTTATAAATCATTTTGAGCGGAATTAAAATTAACCGAAAATTTATTCCTGAGTTGGTGGAAATGGCAGAACTTTTGCATGGTTTATTTTGCTTATTTTTGCAACCTGAGAAGAAACCGACGAAGTAATTATGATTGGGGTCATTTTTTAATTTTTAATTTTTACCGAATTGCGAATTTTTATTCAACCGTTTTTGACCAACTATAAAAAGTACTGAGCTCAAAACGTCTCTGTTACATTTTTGGTAAATTTAAGTTAGTTTCTAAGTTGCCAATTTGGCAAAGTTTGGATAATTAGTGCTCACTATCTACAAGTTTTAAAATAATGGTAGCATGACAACTCACCCCATTCCAATTTACCCCAATTCATTTTACCCTATACCATTCTACACTATGTACTAAATTACTTTATGCCAATCTATGCAACGCCAATTTACCTTACGCCTAAATTAAAACGGAATGATAAGAGCAAACTAGTGACTGCCACAACGTGTTGCCTCAACGTGTTGCGAGCTTGGCTACAGAGGGTAGGGCTCTACACGAAAATTAGAGCCGGTTATCACAGCGAAGCCAGGCGACCCTAAACCAAGCCGCGACCTTAAAGCAAGATAGTCAGCTCAGTTATCTTTGACAAATTGAACTATTTGTAGAACCTAGGGTAAATTAGCATACGGTAATTTGGCATAGGGTAGATTGAAATATAGGGTAGAAGGCATAGGGTAATTAGGAATTGGGTAGCTTGTCATGGAACTAAAATAATGCGTAGCATGGCCGGCGAATTCAAATCAGGTGACCTGATTTATTTTAGACTAAATAATGAAAAAATTTTAGGTGATAAATATGTTTCGAACTTGAAACTATCGATTTTTTAAAATCTACATTTGAGTTTAAATTTTATGGATTTTCTTGTAAAATGAACACTGCAGATACTTCAGAAAACAGTTGGATTAATCAAGGTTTTACTCTAACTCAGACAGTTATTTTGCGCAAGACGGATTTGTATGAATTGGAATATTGAGCTCAAAATGGGCAGAAGAATTAGTGTGTTTAAAAATTCTACTCAAAAATGAAAAAAAAATTGACAAATTTTTTTTGGAAACTTTTTTCAACTTTTAGCGGACTTTTTTTGATTTTCTTAAAGTTACCAAGGAGGCGCAAAATGAAATATCAAAAAATAGCTTTACTGGAGTGAAACTAAGTTATCTCGGCTTGTTTTGGTTTAAGCCGGTTTTTCAGTGGTTGGAATGTTTGGAACAAAAATATCAGTTTTCAGTGATATAACGTTTTTCGTATTTCCCTCTGCAGCGAAATAGCGCTACGAATCCTCTTGTCTCCAAGTCAATTAGGAATGAATTTTTAAGCGCTGATAATTTTTGACGGGCGTTGAGATTTAGAGATAATTGAATACAAAGCATGGTTAAAGAACAACAGCAAAGTGATCAAACCAGCTACGTTTAATTTGATGAAAAAATGTGTATTTTTGAAAGGTATGTTTTTTTGGTTTATACTTTCAGGTTAGTTCTCTGCCTCGCTCTATGAAAGTTTTTCAAAGCAAAATCAGGAAAAAAATCATTTCATGCAAAGAATATATAGGGATATAAAAGGTTAATAAATGAGATTTCCCTCATTTGCTGAATGTAATTTTCTAAACGACAAGGCTGGGAACTTAAAACGGGTTTGTAAGTTTTGGGTAAGTTCAGCTCGCAATTTTTTTCTTTTTAAGTTTCTCTTTCGCTGAATTTTGGGGAATAAATAAAATGGAAGCCCTGCTGATTAATATTTCCTTCGGTTCTATCTTGCCGCCCCTGTTTAATTTCCTTCCCAACATCATCGTCTTATTCATTTTGTTTCCGTTCCCCGTTTAATTTGTTTTACAACACAGGTATTTCGCTCAGCTAACAAATATATAGAAATCTTCATCGCCTTAAAGCACGCATTGAGAAAAAAGTGCAACGCATGACCCAACAATATTTTATTACTTTTTCCCCTCGTGTTTTCAAGACGCTACTGCGAAATTTATGTATTTATTAGGTGATCAGCTTTTTTTCAATAAATAGAAAAAAACGCACGTATACAGTATACACATGTCCACGACAGGCAAAAATATTGCTCGACTTGACATTTATTTTTCTGCATCGATTTACAGTAAAATACTGTGCATAATTTTCCTCCCTTTTATTCCACGTTTTCCACACTTTCCTCATCGTTTCAACGGGAACATTCCTCCCACCACAATCAACCCTTGATTTTACGGGAGGAAAAAACACTTTACGCGTGTATTTTTATAAGCGCATCAGCAGTCCTTTCTGTTTTATTTTTTTTTATTTATAAGTGCACGTCTACTTTTATTTTCTGTCCATTTTCTGTTCCCATTTCCTTATTTGCAAGTTGTCAGCTTTTCCTCAGTCCCAAATTGGAATAAGATTGCCCGCCGCAGCGTTTATAGACGCACTAACCAAGCGGCCTCCAAAAAGTACCAAATATAAGCATTGCTTGAATTGGTGTTTTCACTTTGCGAATCGTTTTTTTTCTTCAACACTACATTAACTTCCCCTATTTCGGAAATGTGAAACCTTTTGAAGATTCTCTTGTGGTCAATTTTTCCACAGGGCAGTTACGGAACTGAGCACGATTGAATTATTAGCAAAAAAAAGAGAGCAAATTACAAAAAAAAGTACAAAAAATGGCGCTGCTGTACATTCAGTTTTATTTCATTACCATCGCCACCATTCTGGGCACGGGCATCTTGGGACTCCCGGTTACTCTGGCTCACTCCGGATTCCTCCCTTTCCTCTTCCCTTTCATCGGATCCTACGTCATGCAATGTATTCTCTTGCTTGTCTTCACTGAATTGCTTCAAATCGCATTTTTCCACAAAATGCAGCAACAGAGCAGTAAGAGTGCGAACGGGACGACAGCGGGATCCAATGTGAGGTTCGAGGCGTTGCCGGTGATCGAGAACGAACAGCCGATGGCGGGAACGACGTCGGCCGAGGAGCAAACTGACGACTCAGATGCGCCGACTTCCGATGAGTTCGACTTCGAAAGTCATCTAGGTGAATACAATCATTTTTTTGCTTTTGCCGAACAAGTGTTCTGAGCGAAGAATAATTTAAACAAGGATAGCCGGTTACTGTGTAAGTAGCACAGAAAGTTCCGACCATAATCTTAAAAAATATAATAAAATATAAATTTTAAGTTAGTGTCGTTTTTCTTTGGCTTGGTGTGATAAAAAATTTGAACGAAAAACTAGAGCTTAGGCATATTCAACAGTCAAAGTAAAACACGCAAGTTGGAGAGCAATTTTTGCAAAAAAAAAGACTAGAAAAACAAATAACAAATCAAAAAAAGTTTCAAAAATTTTTTTATGCAGTTTTTTGGGTTTGAAATTTTTGCAAAAAGGCGCTGAAACACCTAAAAAAAACTAAATTTACTTGATTAAATTAAGTTTTGACGGCTTAAATTAAGCTATTGTAATCATCTTTTAAGTCATTAAAGTGAGCTATTGCAAGCCTGCTTGCTCGCTTTATTCGCTCGAATTAAGACGAAAAATCAAAACTAAACATGATAAATTACTCAACTCTCTTCATTGATTATATGTGTTGCCTGGAAAAAACTGATTTTGCGTGGAAAAAAAAATTAAAAAAAAAACTAAAACACACCCAGATACAAATACAAAGTCCCCCCCCCCCCCACCATTTTCAATAATCGGACTAAAAAACTGCCGATAAATGAAACCTTTAAATTGAAAGAAATCGATGAAAAGGAATTTTTCAATTCAAAACTTGAAATTAAAATTTTGGTAACTTCATTTGATGACAGCAAGAATATCTCACCAAAATTTTTTTTTGAACAGTGAAGGTCTTATCTATTGACTGTCTTCTAGCTCGAAATACTCAAATTCTATTTCTTGAGAAGAGTTCACCATTGACAAGTACCAATTGTAGCAGTTTAGAATTGTTTTAATTTTAAGCCGACAATCTGGATATTCCTGTGGTGAAACCGAATCTACACATGGTCGGCGAGTTGTTTCTGAACAAAGTGGGCGCTTTCTGTTTCGACATAGTTCTCGCAGTCAGTTTTGTCTCTGTGCTGATCAGCTACGCACTTGCGGGAAGCCAGGCCTTCGCCGACATTTTAGGAGTGAACCGGATCGCCATGATTCCCATATTCTGCCTGGTTCTTACGATTGTCGTCGTATTTCTGCAGTTCTTAGTCCAACCGGTAATCTCGCTCCTGACGCTAATCAAAGGCTGCATGTTTGCGACTTGCGTCGTGATCACTTTTCTGGTCGGAGCCAAAGTTGACAATCAATACAAGGATGATTGGGGTGCGACAGGTGAGCCTTTTCTGATGGGAACTGTGGCTATCGGCGGAATCATTAATATCCTTCCGATTCTCTTCATGCGCATTAAGCCGAGAGCTGACCAAATAAGGAAACTAAACTTGGCGGTGATTCTTGGCTTGACAACCTGTTTCGTTCTAAACATCATGTGGTGTTGGACTATCCTCAAAATAGTTCCTCAAACTCCGATTTGCCCGAAACCGACTTACGAGTCGACGGCGAACCCGATAGTGTCGGCTTCTATTCCAAGTGTCGGTGACAGCGGTGATTCGGGCACATGCGATGCAATATCCTTAGAAAGTTCCCATGACAAGGGGGACATCTCGACAATTCCTCTCAGCTCTGTGATCGAGGCCGATCACCCTCAGTATAGCATAGTGTCCATATTCGTGGAATTCTTCATCATGGTCAGTATCACGGTGTCCTATCTGACGTTCGGATCGGCCATGCATCACATGATCAGCGGGATGGTGGAGTCTTTCTGGGAGAACAGAGGTCAGCTGATTGCCGCCAAGTTTGGACTGCAAGTGTCCACGAACAACGAAGTACAGCTCCTCAACTTCCCCGCAGTGTCCTGGATCCGATCAGCTATGTCGATTCTGTCCTTTCTCGCTGTGTTTTGTGTGGCCATGTCGCATCCTCAAGGTTTCATTAAGGTACTAGACAGGGTGACTTCTTTGTCGCAGAACCTGCAAAATTGTGTATTTGTTCCTATGATGCTGTATGCAGTGAAGACGTGTGAAATTTATAAGAACGTGCAAATAAGCTTCAAATTACATTCGGTGTTCTATGTGCTTTATGTATTTGTTGCAATATTTTATGGGGTAGCGGTTCTTTACGATTTGTTCATATGGTCCCAAGCTCTTCTTGGCTGAAACATGCAAATCTGACCTGATAACTATTCATGTATACTATTTTACCAGTGAGACTGAAATCTGAGACGGAAAAATGGTTCCTATGAAAAAAAGCTCCTGAATTACTTCATGACTTGAAAAATCAATTAAAAAAATTCATTGGAGAAAAAAGTTATTAGAGACTTTTTTATTAAACTAATTAGGTTTGGAGTTTTATAATGAAAAAATTGCAGTGAGAGATGGTAACTTTCTCGTGATTAATCATTGAACTGTGTTAGATATTTGAAATTGTTTTAGTAAAAGAAGTAAGTGCTTTCGTATAGCTTTTTTTTACTAAGAGAAACGTGGGGTCGATTGATAGATCCCTTTGTTTCAATTAGTAACTAACATTATAAGACTCGGTAAAATTATATCATAGATAATGGTCGATCTGATCTTAGAGTTAAAATGATAATTATCAAAACAAATAAATTAAAAAGGATGATTAAATGGAAAAGGTTAAATGTTATGCACAACTGTTCATTTATTGTTAACTTTTACCAATATGAGGGGATGTTTATTTTATAAACTTGTGGGGAGAAGTTGTTATTCAATTCTTACCGGGAATCAGTACACTGTCTAATGCTCACTGTCAGTTGATTTATTGTCCAATGCTAGGGTTTTTGCACTTCGCTTTCGCTTTTGTAACTTGAGAATTTTATATACTTAACTTGATTAAGTTTTGAGTGACTCAATTGAAAGTGAAAATTTATTCTAAGAGAATTCAAGATTTATTTTTCAAAAGAAGAAGTAGAAGAAAAATGAAAATAACTTAGCCGTCTGTCTGAGCGTTCACCCTCAGTATAGCATAGTGTCCATATTCGTGGAATTCTTCATCATGGTCAGTATCACGGTGTCCTATCTGACGTTCGGATCGGCCATGCATCACATGATCAGCGGGATGGTGGAGTCTTTCTGGGAGAACAGAGGTCAGCTGATTGCCGCCAAGTTTGGACTGCAAGTGTCCACGAACAACGAAATACAGCTCCTCAACTTCCCCGCAGTGTCCTGGATCCGATCAGCTATGTCGATTCTGTCCTTTCTCGCTGTGTTTTGTGTGGCCATGTCGCATCCTCAAGGTTTCATTAAGGTACTAGACAGGGTGACTTCTTTGTCGCAGAACCTGCAAAATTGTGTATTTGTTCCTATGATGCTGTATGCAGTGAAGACGTGTGAAATTTATAAGAACGTGCAAATAAGCTTCAAATTACATTCGGTGTTCTATGTGCTTTATGTATTTGTTGCAATATTTTATGGGGTAGCGGTTCTTTACGATTTGTTCATATGGTCCCAAGCTCTTCTTGGCTGAAACATGCAAATCTGACCTGATAACTATTCATGTATACTATTTTACCAGTGAGACTGAAATCTGAGACGGAAAAATGGTTGCTATGAAAAAAAGCTCCTGAATTACTTCATGACTTGAAAAATCAATTAAAAAAATTCATTGGAGAAAAAAGTTATTAGAGACTTTTTTATTAAACTAATTAGGTTTGGAGTTTTATAATGAAAAAATTGCAGTGAGAGATGGTAACTTTCTCGTGATTAATCATTGAACTGTGTCGGATATTTGAAATTGTTTTAGTAAAAGAAGTAAGTGCTTTCGTATAGCTTTTTTTTACTAAGAGAAACGTGGGGTCGATTGATAGATCCCTTTGTTTCAATTAGTAACTAACATTATAAGACTCGGTAAAATTATATCATAGATAATGGTCGATCTGATCTTAGAGTTAAAATGATAATTATCAAAACAAATAAATTAAAAAGGATGATTAAATGGAAAAGGTTAAATGTTATGCACAACTGTTCATTTATTGTTAACTTTTACCAATATGAGGGGATGTTTATTTTATAAACTTGTGGGGAGAAGTTGTTGTTCAATTCTTACCGGGAATCAGTACACTGTCTAATGCTCACTGTCAGTTGATTTATTGTCCAATGCTAGGGTTTTTGCACTTCGCTTTCGCTTTTGTAACTTGAGAATTTTATATACTTAACTTGATTAAGTTTTGAGTGACTCAATTGAAAGTGAAAATTTATTCTAAGAGAATTCAAGATTTATTTTTCAAAAGAAGAAGTAGAAGAAAAATGAAAATAACTTAGCCGTCTGTCTGAGCGTTAGAAATTAGAGTCACTGAAAAATGCAGGCAGACTCATCTGAAACACTTTTAGTTTGGTTTTCCCAGCACCTGCTATTGAAATTCAGTCCTCTCTTAATCTCTTATCCTCCGTTTGATCAGGAGACTGACATTTATTAATTTTTTATATTTAAAAATCAATATTTAGTTCAACTGGGGGAATTCACAATAATTCCACCTGCTTTAGTTGCTTTTAAGTTCGGAGCAGCGGGGGATTCATCTATTTTCAAAGCCAAAACAATAGACACACTCCGACTGACTGACGTCGTGGATATATACTCAGTTTCCCCGATCATCCGTTAAATTATTTAAAAATCTTTGCCTTTTTCAAAAGTTAAAAAAACTGAAAGAATAAAAAAATCCGTTCAGAATTCGAAAAGTTAGATATTTGGAGCTGTGAACGAATTTTAGCTGTCTTGAGCTGTGAACGAATTAAGAATAGAAAAGAGTCACCACGGATCTTATGTGAGTAATTAAAACAATAGCCTTTTATATTAGTGTAGCATTTCCAAAATTACAACTCACTCCCTTCTTTAGATGAACAATTGTGAATGCACTCCCCGAAATGGGAATCACTTAAAGCATGAATATAATACAAATCAACATGTTTAAGATTAAATTGAGCTTAAAAACCAAATCTTATAAAGTTTAAGATGTCAATTAGTTTAAGGCAGCGGTAAAAAAAACAAAGATTCTAGGAGACTATAATGTGGCTTTTGAAAGGAAACTTGAATGTTTTCAAGTTTCCTTACAAAAGCCACATTATAGTCTCCTAGGATCTTTATTTTCTTTACCGCTGCCTGTAGTTGCTTTTGTAACTTTTTTTCGCCCTTCGTTTGCGTTTGATATTAAACCGAATTCTTTCCAATGCCTTTGTTAGCCTGTCCACGCCCTGCTTGTTGTCTTGTTCCGGGAACGCTGTTATTCCACTGAATGGAACGAGCAAAGACGTCTCTTCCAATTTTATGAGATACTCCTTAGGAAATGTCTCCTTCAATTTGTATGAGTTTTTTGTGGACTAATTGAAAAGTACTCGTGATCAAATATTTTCTCTGGAGGCGGGTGTTTGAATACCTCGTGGCGATGTTTGTTGCCTGAAACGTCCACTGAAGCTTCCATTTGTTAAATTCCGTCTTCAAGGAATACTTCAGCGTCGTCACAATTTTGGAATATCGTGAGATAGGTTTATCTCACAATCTTTCTGAATTCGCAGCCGTTCTGCCTTTTCTAGGAATTTTCCTGCTCCCTTTGACGGGCCATCGTTCAGGGATAAAGAAGTTTGACTGATCTTTCTCTTTCGGTTTCTTATTTGCCTTTGGTGTAAAGGCCTAAATCTGTTCGCCTGTTCTGGTGCCGGGTTTCCGTTTGGGCAATTCCAGTTTAGTTATGGGTCGTACTCCATTTCTAAATATGTAGAACATTTTTTTTCACTCTGTTAAATTTGCTTTTCTTTGAAACATTTAGGCGACATAATTTATAAATGAGGGTTTTGTAAAAACAAGGTAAAAAGTTTTTGATTCGTAAAAAAAAAGAATTTTTGGGCATTAATTAACCCCTAATCTTAGTTTTATGTCTACCTGGAATCATCCACAGGCTTACCATGGGGTTCCGTTTCATAGGTAAAAGCACCAAGAAAAAACCGGAGGGAAATATACCCTTTCCAAATTTTCTGATATACTTCTGTATCAATTTAAGTGGTATTAATAGTGTAATACACAGTCCCACCACAGTGACAAAGAAAGATAGTTTTTTTTAGCGTTTGATAAGCTATAGCTTACAGAGTTTTCTGCTGTTGTCTTTTTCATTGCTTCTCCTTAGAAAAGATTTCCAAACCTTAAATCAATATGGTCCATAAACAATAATAGAATTTAGGTATAAGCATACAAAATTGTGTGAAAAAACGTATTAAAAAATTTTAAATCTGCTGCAAAAAGTTTTCATTCCAAGGCTCGGAAAATTCATTTTCTATTTTGCAGATGGGGCAATTTGTTGCTGACGGCGGTAAGCATCTGCTGCCAGCTTTTTGATTTGGGTGATTATCCGTTAAGTGTCGATAACTTGTGATGTAAATGGTTTGGTGAGCACCTTGTCCAATTTTTGTCATTGCGTGGCATATTCGCACGGGGAGTGATAAGAAAAGGACAACGTGTAGACTGGTGTGCGATAAAGGGGACAGAGACTTTGCCCATATTGGGCAGAAAATTCCTTCGTTAATTCGTCACTGTCTGTGCAAACAAGATGGGGAGGATGATGCGTCAGGTTTTTGTGTTGTTTTTTGAAAGTCAATTTTGGTTCATAACATGTATGTTGGATGATAGATTTATCGGTTTTTAGAAAAATTTTGAAAAGGGATTGAAATAGATAGTAATTGCGAGACAATGCAAAATTGATGATTTTATTGACAAAGGAGGAAGTCATTCATGTAAGAAGTGTAAAAAGGATTTCTCATACCAGATGTTGGCCTAAACGGAAGGTTCAGACTTGAAAGGGCATTTATTGATTTGAATATAGCGGTAGAGTTTTTGCCAATTTAAAACACGGACAACCTGTTGATATAGTGGACAAAAGAATTTCTCCAAACGATTGTTTGTTTGGGATGTCAGTTAAAGGAAACAATGGATGCAAGTTTTGTGAAAAGGCTGGTTCTGGTCTTTTTCATGAAAAATTCTCATCTACGATTATGTTTTCTGCTAAAAAAAGAGGAAATTCGGATGTCCTTTTTATATTTTTGCATTTTATTTAATTGCGAGAAATTTCTCCGTTATATTGTAATTATCTGAAGTGATATTTCCCCTACATCGAGGTTGCTATCAAAAAATAATAATATTTTCTTTTATGTTAAATGAAAGTTTTTCCTTTTTCGCCCGCTGTATGATCGGAATAATAAATGACAATTTGTGGATATATGTAAGGGTC